ATCCATATTAGAAAAATCCAAAATAAAAAAAAAAGAATTTCGTTGATTTCTTACCATTAGACTACTTTTTGGGAAAAATATTTTGTCAAATGAATACATCGATTTTTATCGTTAAATTATACTGCATTAAAAAAGGATTCTTTTGGTTAAATAAAAATAAAACTTATAGAATCACTAGTACGTGTTGCAATAATACAAGTCTTTCTTTTGATTACAGAATAGAACATATTTGGAGCAAATTTAAATGTAGAAGAAACAATTTGTAAGACTTTTAAATTAAAAAGAACATAATCATTGCTGTTATTTCTATTAATATTTTGTGGGTTTTTATATGTTAATGCTATTTTTATTATTCTATGTTCAATTACAAGTTTCTATCCATAATAAAGCAATAATAAGATCAATATATCTAGTTACATAGGCCAACGATGAAAAAATTTTTCAAATTATTTTTACTAATCCCAGTGTGTATTTGGTGTGCTGTTTCCGAATATGGAAATAAAAAAGTCGTATCACCAACCAACTTTCCACATTTTCATATTTTAGTCCTTCTGACTGCATATTTGAGTCCCAAATATAAAATTTTGTAATTTTACAGAAGTTGTGAATAGTGGCCGTCGCTGCCGCTCCATGTAACTTATAGACAATAAAGAAGAGAATAAAATAGTGAAGAAATTTGGTCTATATCTCTCACATTTTAGCGGTAATTGTGATTTCAATTTTGAAGATTTCGGAGAAAAGAATTTTTTGTTAAAATTTGTGAAAAACAGGCTTTATTCTTCACTGTTATGCAATCATTATACATTAATGCATAATAAAGTTGTTGATGGTTTATTGTAGGAATTTTGTATGGAAAATGTGCGTAATAAACCTAAAATAAACGATTGATATCTTTATGAATACAGGGGTTAAAATCGTGGAGTTGGTTTCAAAACTTTTTACAAACCTTAAATTTTTTTGTCTGTGTTATTTTTTTGATAGTGGTAATCATTACCGCGTTTTGGTACATATGTAAGTATGTGTAATATATGGAATTCACATTGCGTATACGTCATGCATTCGTCATGAAATTTATACCTCATAATATATACATAAATTAACAAATTGTTTTATATATTGCGGTTATTTTTAGTTTTATGATATACATGAATTTATGTTCACTCCAAAGTATTTAAGTTTTTGCTGGGTTTCTTAAATGATTAGAGTAAAACAAACATTTTGTGGAAAATAAAAACGTAAATTAAATTTTCACAATTTAAATAATTTCTGTTGTCCTAGTTTCCAAAAAAACACCTCAAGCTTTTCTATATCAACTTTTGTTATTCCACATATGAAAAATTAAACAATTTTTCTATGTTTGCCGCCTCCAGCCTTTGATATTTAATAACAAAAAAATCCATCAACGTTTTGAATTTCAAAACATATTGCTTTCGATTAATTTTGTAAACTTTTTGTAACAAATGCTGACAAAATTTGTTAAATCCAAAAAAATAAAAAAAACCCAGAGACATTTACCATGATCTGAATTCATTTACAAGGACATGCGTATGTACAAGTAAAGCTAAAACAAGAGAAAACACAAAAATAAAAACATCAACATTAAATTTGAACATATTTATGTAGCACACAAGTATACTTTTACTAATTTTTTTAAAAGGACAAGGACACTTTACATGCATGTGTTTGAAGCAACTCATTGTTTGCTATTTTTATTATTTTTTTAATTTTTTCTCATTTTGTTTCTTGTGGTTTGAACATACATTAAAAATGTTCTTGTTGATGTCCAACATGACCAAACAAAACTAATATCTATTAAAAAGGTTTTTAATTATAGACCAATGCAAGAAGAACTTAAGAGATTGCAAAAATCAAAAAGAATTTGCTATTAACATATACATATAAAGAAAAACAGACATTCAAATAACCAAATGACAGATAAAATAAAGTAATATACATTTACATAAATGTCTCTACGTACGTTTTATACTAATATACATAAATATGTAAACAAATGCACAATGAGGAGCATAACTGGACTCACAAACATTAAAATGTTGGTGACTTATACAGACATGTATATTAATGTCATGTTTTGACTTCCACTGTTTTCATTTCAACATGTTTATGTAAAACTATATGTAAGTGTTTTGATACATATCTTTATCTGCTGGTATTTATACATAATTTTGTTGTTATTGTCGATCTTATATGTACAGTAGAAATTATGTATTTGTATATGTAATCCTTGGGAATATTATTTGTCGGTTTGATTTTATATACGAGCAATTTCGTGTCAAGTGATCCATCTTAAAAATAGAGTTGAATGAAATTTGCACCAAGGTTATTACTATTGGATAGTAAGCCAAACAAGCGTTATTAAAAAATTGACTTGCAACAAATAAAAAGTTATATACATTTCATAAGTGTTATTTTCGAAAAAAAAAACTACTGATAAATTGTATATCTACTTAAACGTTTTAAGGATTTTAATATATAATATAAATTGAATAAAAATACAGGGTAGTAAGTATGTAGATTTTATTGGTATATTTAATAAACGTTTTATAGAAATATGAACGTATGTATATTCCGGATTTATATTGCGAGAAGTACTTTTCTTGACTTACACTACTCTATTAATTACTGGCCCATATTTACATATAATAACTTTAACGTCAACGTTATGTATGTTATATGTATGTTAGTAGATGTATTATCTACATATACAGATATATACATATGTATAAGCATGTATATATACATATTTACATTCTTATATACATGACGAGCATGTTAATTAAGAATGTTTAAAAACTGGATTTTATGTCCAAATCAACATCAACTTTTACAAGTGATGGAAAAAAATCGATATTTTAAATATGTGTTATGGTCATAGATACAAATATTTACAATGCTACTACACACGGACACAATAAAAATTCCTTGTCGGATTTTATGAGTTAACCTTTTACAACTAACTCAAAAATTATCCAGAAATATATGTATGTATGTACAAACATTTTTATAAAATTAAAAACAAAAAAATTATGGAAACTCATAACACATTTTTCAAACAATTTGTATTGAAAAAATAAAATTATGAAAATTAAAATGTTTTTAGCGATGAAAAAGGAATTGCACATAATTAACATAAATCCCCAAATAAAATTTTTTTACTCAAATGTCAGTACAAAAATAATTATTTTCGCTTCTTTGGAAGTCAATAAACATCACTTCCGCTGATGCTAACAAATTTTGAAGTGGTGATAAATGTATTTCATTTTGAAGTACTTCGCTGGGATGTCGCCCATTTGCAACTAAAGGGTTATAACTTAAAATCTGGTTGTTTTGTATTTAGTAATAAAATGGCGAAAGTCTTTTGAATAGTTTGATATTTTAAAAATGTTAATTATTTTTCGCTTGAGTATGATTTTTTGTTATAAATATCAAAATTAAACTTTTCTTTTTCTTTAATTAATTTAGAAAAAGATTTGCTAACTTAATTAAGACAAAAACTAATTTCTATTACAAATAAATTATTTTAATTTTTCCAAACTATTACATTTGAGAAATGTTTAGCTCGAAACTATGTTTTCTGAGTCATGACCCATTAGCTGCAACTAAGCGACATGTATTTATGTATTTTATGTTTTTGCTATTTAAGATTATCATATACTCTTGTTTGGAACATGTTCTAAGATTATTATATTCCACTTACATTTCTTCTTTTACTTTCTTATTAATGTTTCAAATTAAACTTTTACAGCTTGGCACAAATTTAGAAAGACAACAAATTTTTGGATTTTTATATTGAATTTATGTAATTTAGGTCCAGAATTTCTCCTGAATTGAATTTCAATAATATATTATATACAAATATATATAATATTTTAATACTTATCTATGTATATACATATAGATATATTCCAAACGTTTACAAATAAGTAAGAAGATCTGTCTAGATATTCATATAAATATATGAAGAGTATATTTTACTGGGTTTGGCCATCAGGCATTTAAAGCAATCTGTTGCAGAGAGTTTAAATTTCAAAATATTATGAACATTTTCTTTTGCATCATCTCAGTTTTATCTGTTTTTGTATTTACACAAGTCTCCTTTTGCTCTGTGGTAACAACCACACGAACACATAAACAGAAATTCAAGTATGTATGTACATCCTTTGGACAACATGTACACTAATGTAATCATTTGCACACAATATTAAATGTTTACCTAAATACATTCAAGCAAACATTTTCATTCAAACGTACATATGTATTTGTAGCTATATACATACATGTATGTATGTATTTATATACAAACATTTAGGTATATCTATATTTTCTACAAAGACGATGATGAAATTGATGTTAGTGATTTTCATTTCATAAAGTTTATTAATTTTTCTATTAAAATCTTAATATAAATATTTGCTTAAATAAAAGTAATAAATGTTTGTTTGCCTATGTGTGCATGTGTTTATTTATGGTTTATGGCAAATCGTAAGAGAATAATATTTAATGTTGACAAATACTTTAATTTCATGTTATTTTATTTATAGAAATATTTCATTTAAATTAATTGTTTTGTATTTTTTTCACTCATTTTGTTTTTAATTCCAAAACATATTTGCTTGACTTGTGTATAGATTTATAAACTATTATAATATTTGTTAAACAATTTCTTTTAGTTATTAATTAAATGTTGATATCAGGTGTTTGACAAGATGTCTAACACTACTGTTGCCAGAATATAGTAACTTAAATATTAAAAATTTTAAATTTAACATTTAAACTAGATTACTATTGGTGCATATAATTGAAATTACGTTTATCTTAATTAAACACAATATTTATAAAATAATTTATTTGACTATCTCTCTGTAAAGTCAAAAACTAATTTTGACAATAAATAATATTCTAAAATCATCTTTCCCATATTATTAATTTTTCAATTTTCTGCATTCATTTCAACAAAATTGTTAAAGATATTTACTTACTTTGAGACCAATTTGCTTAAATGTGTTTAACATTAGTATCTGTAACGAAAAAGACGAGAAACAATTTTTAACAGTATAAATATTATTTGAGAAAATATAAAACTATCAATAACATTTTATATGGGAATAAAAAAAAAACATATCGCACATTCATGTGAAGACTGGCATAACCAAAATTATGGTTTTTGAACCAAGTACAAGAAAATAAGCATCTTTCTCATATCTCATATAATTTATTGTTTTCAAAAATCGCTTTTACTTTCGATGTTGAAATTCTAAACGCCAAAAGTAAAAGTTGTGATTATATTTACATGTATTTTTGTATATGTATATCCGTTTTAATTTTTCAAATCTCATGACTTCTTTAAAAAATTTGAAGGAAACATATGTATATGTACATTGGGGTAGTAACTTTTATACAATATTTGAAAGTTTCAAATCGGCCCTATCCTATCCGCGGTTTATCTTCCTTCCAAATTTAGTACCCAAACATGTAGATTTATTATAAAAAATTCATGTAAATTTGTTCATGAATGGTTTTAGAAAATCAATTTGCCGCGGAAGGTTTTTGCTGGGCCCTATCACAAAACACAAAACTGTGGTTTGTGAATTATAACAGATTCTAAGTTAACAAGCGATATGCATATAAAACAGAACAATATTTTGAAGTTTAAAAACACGCATTAATCAACATCATCACCATTCGTGGTTGTTTTATTTTCTGTAACACATTTTCCTTTCGATTTTTCAAATTTACACACCAGTACAAACAGGTACAATGTTCATTTTAGTTGTATAAAATGCAACAACTACAACAGGAAAGTGGCAACAAGAACAACAAAGAAGACATCCACAAAAAGGTGTACAACACTTGCAGGAGTTCGTGCTTGTAGTAAGTACGTAAAAAAAGTATACTTCTCCCATCATATTAGAGTGAAAATGTAAATAGTAAATATCATATTATCAGGGCATCAATGTATTTGAATGTGTAGGAGGATGAAGGAGGAAGTGTACATACATTGAAAAACTAAATGAGTTTGTATTTTATACTTAACCCAGTAAACAATAAGGATTATGTTATAAATGGAAATTACTATTATTTAAGACAAGTTTGTTGCTCAAGTAGGATTTTTTAAATTATTCATATTTGAGATTTAGTATGTACATATAACGATATCGAATAATAATCAATTAAATGTTTTATTTAATGTTTGCTGGGTGATACCTAAATGTGTAAATGCATGTGTGTAAGTTACTGATAGTGGTACTTTGTACTTGTTTGTTTTTTTTTTGAGCCAGTTTTTTATGGTAGTAAATTTTCCTCTTACTTTTTTTATATCATAATATACAAAAATGATGTTGCTATTTCCGTTACGTGTATTTATATGTTGTATTTGTTTGGATGATCATAAAAGAGTATGAATGAGAACGGTTTGGGAGAGCATGATTGTAAATAAACTTGTAGAAGGCAAATAGCATAGAACCGTAAACACTTTAATTGCTTTCATAAAATTTTCACACGATATAACTGTTTACGATTGTAGTATGAGGGAGGGCGTAAGAAACCATTTTTTCTTGCAAAATACTATAAATAATAAGTAAAAAAACAAATAGGGCTCTGCAGTTCAGAGTAAGTTTGTCGAGCTGTTGATTTTATTTACCTGAATTAGCCATTTTCCCATTGTGATTTGATTTTGTTATGTTATGTAATTCAAAAGCAGAATTATTGCATAAATTGAGATGTGTACTTACCGCAGCTTTATTACACAATCTTTTAAATATTAAAGTATTTTAACTTTTTATTTTATTAATTAATATTTCTGTTAATTTCCTTTTTTATTATTAAATTCAAGTCAATAGCCACTAAAAGAAAAGGAATTGAGTACACAGAGAAAACAGTTTCGTTGTGATAACCGAATTTGTAGCCAATCGAATTTGGTCGGTTACGACAACTATCTTATGAATCGATTACAATAGCCGAATGTTTCAATGCTTCATACCGAATAATTTTAATAGAATAACCAAAAATATTGGTTAATACAACTGCAAATTGTATTTTATAATTGGGTTGTAATAATCGAATCATTCGGTACTTAAAAAATTATATATATTTTTGTTTATTTAACTTTATTTTAGCGAATACAGAAACATACAAATTTATTTAACATTTAAAAATATATATATTTTTTGAAGGAATATCCCAATTTGCTCCAGCTGCATCGTCGTCCTGAAAAAACAACATACATATAAATGCATATGTAGCTTAGGTATTTATAAAATAGTGCCCAACACACCAGTTCTTGTTTAATGGACAAAATACTTACTTTTAGGAATGATCATCAACTCTTTCGCAAACTTTCCATTTATATGGACAATGAAAGATTCATCTTGAAACTCGCTGAAAGAAAATATAATTAGATTTGTGTGTTTTTTCAATAAGTATCAAACTTACCACTGTTTACACATTTTTCAATTTTATCCAATCCTTTTGATGACAAATCAGTGGATATATTGTTTTCCTGGTTAATTTTAATGTAAATTTTCTTGGTTTTTATAATAAATGAGATATTTTTTTTGTATATAGAAATTTATTTAGTTTTATTTAGCTTTGTTCCAGAACTTTTCTGGCTAAAGAGAATTAATGAATTTTCTCTTCGTACTTATAAAAAGTACGGGAACAGAAAAAACTAAATTTCTCTTTCAATAAATTTGTATTGAAGTTTATTCATAAAAATTTCTATTGAAATTAAAATAAAATTGAAAAACTACAATCACACATACTTATTTATGAAAATAAATCAAAAATATCAAACATTTTTTATTTTCAATGTATTTTTTTAAACAAATAATTTATTTGACAATTTTTTTCTATTTGCCAGGAAAAAATTTTCTGGCTAAAACCTGCAAGTTCTGGCAAAGAGAAAATAATTTTAATTGCTCAAATTTGTTCTCTTTTACAATTTCTGGTAAAAACCTGCAAACTTGACAAGTAAAGGAACAAAGCTTTTATTTGTAATTTGAAATTTATTTACATAAATATATAAACGTCAGAGGAAAACTACCGTTTTATCAGTTCTGAACACCGAATTTTTAGAAATTAGCCGAATTTATTTATTACAGCGACCAATATTTGGTGCTAAGAAATTGTTTGTTGAGTTCTAGTTTGTTACTTCTACCGAATTTTGTAGATAGTTTACGCAATGTTACGATTCGATTGTGTTAATAAAATATATGATTGATTAGACTATAATTTGATTAAAATTACTTTCTTTCGATCTTAAACATAGAATAGTAGTTGCAGTCGCATTATTTTAATAATAACAATTAAATTTCTGCTGAAATTATGGAATATTTGTAATAGCAACCAATTTCCGACTAATCTTTTTTCTGTGTGTAACAAATCGCTTTATTTGTATCAAGATTTCAATTTCTGCTACATAGACCAACAACATCTGGTGTCGAGAGTGTGGTGGTTTCGGTGTCTGACTGTGTTGGTTTTCATTATATCAATAACAAATATACATATGTATGTATGTATTATTCCAATGTTTCTTTTAGTTTCCTGTTTCGAGTTTTTTTTTCATATTTTGCGATTGTATCATGTGTAATGTCGCAAAATATTTGGCATATACATATACTCCAACATACATATATATGTACATATGTATATGTAGGTACATAAATTTCAAAAAGAAAGAAAAATATATTTAGTACATACATATGCACATACGTAGTATAGGTATGTAGTTTGTTCTATATAATATTTTTTCAGTTTTTTCCGCTAGTCTGGTTTCAGATTTTTCTGTGTATATTTTTGGAGTTTCTTTTCTATTATAGACTATTTTTTGTTGATACCAACTAAGAATGGTTTTGAAACAACAACGGTTGTATGAAGATATTTTTTTTCCATACATGTGGCATAATTGAAGATTTTCAACCATAAATTCTATGGAAGAAAAACTGATGATAAAATAAGTCTTACTTTATGTGTGGGTGTTTTTATGTATATTTAACTATGTACTTCTATGTACGTATGCATATGTGTATGATATTGAGAAGAAAATATATATTTTTATTTCTGTGGCTGCTAGAAAACCTATAAAAAATTGCATGTAATGTTCTGGAAATTTCTTCGTTTTTCCAATAAAGATTCATAAATTTGTATAAAAGTTGCCAAACGAAAAACTCGTAATAATTGTACAGCTTAGGTTTTTATGCAAGCAAATGTACTTAAAGTAATCGATAGTAAAATAAACTGTAGACTTTACTTTTCGTCTGGTATAGAATATTTAAAAACATATACAATATTTTCCAATAGTTTAAGTAGCCTTTAATGAAACGTAATGAATAATCAAGCTAATAAGTTTTCTGCACTTTGCATAACAAAGTTAAAACTACATGTTGCGTTCAAAGGTTGACTATAATTTAATAAAAAAAGTCTAAAAATAAAAATTGCATGTTGAGAGCTCATACTGCAATTTCTTAAAATTTCTTTAACTGTCTTTGCATTCCCTATTTCAGTTGCTATTTAACACTCTTGTTATTATTTTCAGTAAAGGCCCCTGCTAAAATCCTTAAATGCAACAAAAGTAGAAATTAACCATCAACTGACATAAAATACTTGTAAATACATTTTCCTTGAAAATTGTGACTATAAATAAAAATAGGCGTGTTTTTCTGTAAAGAGTTTATTAAAAGAAAAAAGTATAAAAACTCCTGTAATCAAGGAGTAACCGCTGTGTGCAACATGAATTTTGTAGGTCAGTCATTTCTGATATACATATGTATGTATGTATATAAAAAGCAAAAGCGTTATAAAGGCTAAAACAAACGCATTGTGGTTAAAGAGATGACATAAAACCCAGTTATGACCAAGAGTCACGAGTTTTTCATATGTGAAGAAAAAAGAAAAGCAACATGCTCCTTAAATTCATTAAATATTCAGTGGTCTTTGTGAACTCGTATATTTAAAATGCAATAATTTATGGTTGTTGTTTCATTGGGTTTCCTAGAATGCATGAATTAAGAAAAGAAACAAC